TTACCCTACCGTACGTTACGTACGTAAGTAACGTTAACCGTACTCTACGTCGTAGTACGTAACGTACTACGTACGTAAGTACGTTAGTACGTGTCGTACTAATATATATATATATATATATATATATATATATATATATATATATATATATGCGCGCATGCATATATTAGTAGGGGTAACGATCGATGGAATGCTGCCGGCATGGTGCACCGATGTCGTGTCAATGACACCGTACCTTAGTAACGACACCAATAGCACATAATATGTGCACAGTATTTGCACAGCGAACCGATTCTGTGGTGCGAAAGGAGTAACCATATCGCGTTGTTTGCTTCTGTCATGGAAACATATACTAGTATAGCTAATATGGCTTGACTAGTATGTTATTTCTATGGCTTCTGCCGTGTCCGCGTATGTTGCATATTCAAGTACCAAACCGGCTTACCGGGAGATGGAATATTATTTGGGTACAAGATTCGAGAGTAAACGTGAATTTGCACTGAAACCGATCGTCCGAAACTATCGGGAAGCTCACGGGAGAGTATCTTATGTGTGTATCTCTATATGATGTATCATATATCACGGGTATATATATAGGGATAGATTAATTGGGAGGGGGGTAGATAATAGATTCCCTATTATCTACTTCTGATATATATATATATCATATGCCGTATCAAAACGTGCCGAGGGCTGAAATGAGTATGCGACGTTTCAGGTTTCCGCTTCAGCTTCTATTCTCTAGTGGACTCTGTGTGTATTTGTATGTGTGCGGGTGTTTCCGTGTGTGTTGGGGAGAGCAATTGTTTTGCTTGAACACTCACGAATGGCCGACGTTTACTATATTCTACTCCGCCGTCAATCGGTTGAGAAATTGCGTCAAACACACTTACCATTCAAGCGCAGTGTGTATATCAGCATGAACATAGACGTAGCTTCGTGTAGCGCTATGCGAAAGTGTTATACAGATTGACAGCTTCTGACATTTCGCATTATCCTGATTATTGTGTTTTTATAGGCCTACGGCAACTCTCCCCCTGGGGAAAATGCACTGCCACTGAAGCGGCACGATGCTATTTTTTGTGCGAACTTTTGCGCTGTATTAAAATGCAAAAACAATCATTACAGAGGTATTCAATCAGGGCCTACTGTTTACGTGCGAAGTCATAAAATATCGGCCAGTTAATTGAAGGAAACGTGTGCGGCTACTAGCAATACTGCAATCCTCGTAAATATGGTTATATAATGCTGCTGCTGCTGCTGCTGCTGCTGCTGCTGCTGCTGCTGCTAATAATGATGATGATGATTATAATAATAATAATAATAATAACAACAATACTAATTATTATAATAACCATTAGCAATAACAGGACCAGTATTAATGTAATAACTTTAACATTTATAGTAATATTTTCCTTACTAAGATCGGCTCGCATTATTAAAAAAACAGCAGAAGTAGCACTGGCTACAGACTTGAGATGTCATGAATATGCTTAGAACCAGGTATTGGTTACAGATATACCGTCGGTGTACTGCCAGCAGTTTATCAAGCCCAAACGAAATAACAATTAATAATAAATGATTTCACTATTGTTACAACTTATATTATTATTATGACGAGCAATACAAGTATTCGTTGTCGAGCACTGTTTTGTGGTGGTCACTTATATTCGTACCAACACTCTAGCTAATCACGCTACCTGTACTCCCGTCCCGCAGGTGAGCGCACCTAGGATGACCGCCATCGTGCGCATCGTTATTGTCGGCGCCTTGTGCGCGTGTCTGCGTGCGGGGCCCGCCGCCTCGCAGTGTACCGACCTCATGCGAGCGCTGCCCACCTGCCAGTGCTCGTCGAGCGAACGCATCAACTGCCGCGGCGGTAACCTGACGGAGATCCTTCGCGCCGTGTCGGGGCACGCCGGCACGATAAACACGCTCACGGCGACCGAGACGGAGACGGACACCCTGAAGGCGGGCGCGCTCAGCGGCGTCAACACGCACGTTCTGCGCGTCAACTACGGTGCGCTGACGTCGGTCGACGCGCATGCGCTGAGCGCCGCCGGCCCGGCTCTCGCCGACCTTAACCTCCGCGCGAACCTGCTGCGCGACGTACCGCGGCTCGACGTCGCCAACGCAACGAATCTCATCTCCGTCAACCTCCAGTCGAACCACATCGCGTCGGTGCCGGCGCGTGCCTTCTCAGCGGCCGCGTATTTACGCGGTCTCTACCTCGGATATAACCTGATCGGCACCGTTGACCCGCGCGCCTTCGCCGGACTGAGCCGCCTCGAGGAGCTCTCCCTGTTCGGGAACCGACTCGAGTGGCTTCCGGCGGACCTGCTCGGCGAGCTGACATCACTTGCCTACCTGTACCTGCACGGAAACGCGCTGCTGGAGCTTCCGGTGGGGTTGCTGGCGACGCAGACGGGGCTGATCGAGCTGAACGTCGCCGAGAACGCGCTGGTCGACGTCGACGACGACGCGTTCTCGTCGCTCGGTCAGCTGGAGAAGCTCTACGCGAACGACAACCAGATTCACTCGCTCAGCGATCAGCTCTTCGCGAACCTCACCTCGCTGAAGACGCTCGACCTGTCCGGCAACAAGGTGCGAGAGCTGACGGCAGGGGCGCTGCGATGGCTCGTCAGCCTGCACAACCTAAAGATGAGACACAACGACCTGCACGTCGTCGACGCCGACGCCTTCTCGTCGCTCGCCGAACTCTGGGAGCTCGATCTCACCGACAACCACATCGGCGAGCTGCCCGCGTCGCTGCTGACCGCCAACAAGGCGCTGCTGCGGCTGCGGCTGGGACGAAACAAGATCGAGTCGGTGCACGAGACGTTGCTGAGCGGACTACTGCGTCTGAGAAGCGTCGACCTCAGTCACAACCGTCTCGCCGACGTGCCCGAGAATCTCTTTAACGGTCTCTCGCGACTCGAGTCGCTCAACCTTAACAACAACGAGCTGACGTCGTTCGCCGTCGGGCTATTCAATCGCATCGGCAAAGCCAACTCTCTCGCTCATCTCAACCTCGGCGCCAACGCCCTCTTGCGGGTTCCCCCGCGCGCCTTCGTTAACCTGGGCGACCTCGTCTACCTGAATCTCGCCGACAACAAGCTCAGTTTGCTGCCGCCGGACGCCTTCGAGGGGCTCGGCAAATTGCAGTACCTCGGGCTGGCCGACAACAAGCTGGTGTCGCTAGCCGATGGCCTGTTCGAGCCGCTAGGTTCGCTGCGCTGTCTCTACCTGGACGGCAACGGTCTCGAGTCGCTGTCGCCGCTGACGACGCGCGGGCTCACCAACATCGAGCTGCTCGACCTTAGCAACAACGAGCTGCTCAGCTTCCCGCTAGAGGCGCTCATCCTGCTGACGTCACAGCAGAAGCCGCTGAAGAGGCTCAGCCTTGCGCGCAACCTCATAGCAGAGCTGCCCGTCGACAGCGAGCGACTGTACGTGCGCGAGCTCGACCTGTCGCACAACACGATCGGGCGCGTCGAGCGCGACTTCTTCTACGACGTCGGCTACTCGCTCGAGTCGCTCGACCTGTCGCACAACGTCATCGCCGATATTCCTACGAGCGCCTTCGCCAACCTGCGCAAGCTGACGCGCGTCTCGTTGCGTGGCAACCGCGTGACGCGTCTCTTCGAGCACTCGCGTGTCGAGTACCTGGACGCGGCGCAGAACAACTTCACGACGTTCAGTCTCGTCGACCTGACGCGCCTGCCGCGCCTCGGCCAGCTCGACCTCAGCGGCAACCGCATCTCGCAGTTTCTGTCGACGACCGTACGGCTCGCGTCACTCACGAGGCTCGACCTGAGCGACAACCACATCGTCGGCGTGCCGCTGCTCTACCCGACGAACGAGCGCGAGAACCGGCTGCCGAACCTACGCAGCCTCAACCTGTCGCGCAATCACATCTCGTCGTTAGAGGGCGCGCGCGGCGCCGCCGTGTCGGGCCTGAAGGAGCTCGATCTGTCACACAACGAGCTGTACGCCGTGCCGCGTCACGTGTGGGCCGAGCCGACGATGTCCCTGCGCGACGTCAATCTGTCGCACAACCAGATCGAGGCTCTCGACGACGACAGCTTCGCGAATCTGTCGAGCGTCGAGTCGCTGCGCATCGCCTACCTGCCGAACCTTCGCCGCGTGAGCGCAGGCTTCGCTAGAGCGCTGCGTAACCTCGTCACGCTGCGCTTCCACGACCTGCCGATGCTGCCACGCTTCACGATCGACTACGTGGCGCTGCTCGCCGGCAAACCGCGCCTCCGAGATCTCGCGATCGAGATCAAGAACTCGACGCTCGCCGATCAGCTTGCTGGAGTCATGCCGCAGCTGAGCAGCCTCTATGTCACCGGCAGACACCTGACGGAGATCACCGACACGGCCTTTCAGAATTTCTCGGCGAAGCTGACGAAGCAGGAGGACACGAAGTCGCAGGAGGTGCGCTTGACGATAACAGGTAAGGTTAGACATAGAGGTGCATGGAGGACGAGGAGAGCGTGAAAGATACACACACACACACACAAATAAACAAACAAACAAACAAACACTACTTGATCCCGATGTCTCAATATAATATTTATGAGGTGAGTTGTCTTGTTTATCTGGCTAACGTAACATTAATCAAATATAAATTCACCAATAGAAGGCGATGTGTGCTCTACACAACATACGTAGCTGTGTAGGCGCTATATCACGTGAAAATTGTTATTTTAAAATGAAGAGTATAACCTCGTCGCAGTAGCTTGACATGAAAAATGAATCCCGATATCTCGCTTGAACACTAATAATTGTGCCCAGTTTTCTCGGCTGCTGTAATACTAATAAAGTCAAAATCAGCCGATAGATGGCGATGTGTATTCTACGTGACTTTGCGTGACTAGAGGTGGTGAACAACAGTAGATCGCGTCCATAGGCAGCAGGCCTGAATAAGCATCGAACAGATATTAATTAAAAATACTCACACTGTTACTTCGCTTACACAACATACACTTTATTCATGTTAAATAACTACAGATTTATGCTCTATGCTCCGCTCAGAACTTTTGCCAGCTCTATAATGCGAATTTCTACAGAGTAGTCGGATCCCGTTTTATACACAAAAGTGGCCGACCGGCGACCATGGCTACGCCACTAGCTGGAATGGCACAATTCCACAACAAGACCAATTTTACTTCTAATGCTTTTTAGACGTTCACGAGGCATCTAACTTGCGTGCATGAGTAGTGACGAGACATGTGTGCAGCTACCACCGAGGTGTAGTGTAGACGGGGACAGTGTATCAGGCACGACAGTCTGTCAGATAACGACATTATGATATACACTTTATTCTAATTTCATTTCCATTTAATCTAAGTTCATTAAGGATTTTACTTCATTTTACTTCAAAACCTAGGTAGGGCAGCTGCTACCTTGCTCCCCAGAGGGTACGGCCCTAGATAAATGAAATGGACCTAATAAATTGGGTCAGTATCTTCGAAGCGTGGTAAAGTGGTATTTTTCTTGAAGTATACTTTTATTTAAAAATTGATAGGACATGCTTGACGAAATAGCTTGACGTTAAAACTTGATCCCGATGTCTCAATATAATATTTATGAGGTGAGTTGTCTTGTTTATCTGGCTAACGTAACATTAATCAAATATAAATTCACCAATAGATGGCGATGTGTGTTCTACACACCATACGCAGCTGTGTAGGCGCTATCACGTGAAAATTGTCATTTTAAAATGAAGAGTATAACCTCGTCGCAGTAGCTTGACATGAAAAATGAATCCTATACACACATACAAACATACAAACAAACAAACAAACAAACAAACAAACAAACACACACACACAAACAAACACACACACACAAACAAACACACGCACGCACGCACGCACGAATGAACGAACGAATGCGCACACATTTCTGCACATCGATATCTTGGGGTTATACTACGGTGTGGCTGTACGCTTTTATTTAAAAACCGTGCTGTAGAGAATTCATAAAAATCATGACAACAGCCGTTGGTTTCTATTTATCGGTCAATGGGTGGTTTAGACATCTGTTCCGCACAGGACTTTCGCTTCAAGCCTACACTACAAGCTTAAGAGAATATATACTAGAACATATATATATATATATATATATATCACGCTTTCACTGCGCCACTCTGCTGATATAGATGTGAAATTAGGAATTGTCTTTAAGGTTAAACGTATCAGCAGAGTGGCGCAGTGGAAGCGTGCTGGGCCCATAACCCAGAGGTCGGTAGATCGAAACTACCCTCTGCTAGTTTTTATATTAGCGTTTAGTTTACAATCGTCAAGAAAAATTTTCCTATATCTAAATGAAATACAAATTAAAGACATTCTTTAATTTATACATATCAGCAGAGTGGCGCAGTGGAAGCATGCTGGGCCTATAACCCAGAGGTCGGTAGATCGAAACTACCTTCTGCTAACTTTTATATTACCGTTTAGTTTATGCAAAATAAAACAAATATTCCTTGATCAATTGGAAATCAAAATTAAATTGAAGAATGTCTTTAATTTTTATTTCATTTAGATATAGGAACATTTTCTTGACGATTGTAAACTAAATGGTAATATAAAAACTAGCAGAGGGTAGTTTCGATCTACCGACCTCTGGGTTATGGGCCCAGCACGCTTCCACTGCGCCACTCTGCTGCTATATTTTCAGAAATAAGTGATGTGATTTTCGTTGATTTTACTGGGTTTTCTATTGCTTCAAAAGTTACAAAAACGTTTTTTTTTTTATAAAATACGTAAAGGTAAGTAATATTATGGTAAAAACTCACTGTATATTGTTTTTTACTGAAAAATATATAGTTGGGGTCACATAAGAAATATTTGACCGGACGCGTAGCCTGGGAGCTGGGTGTCCGGTAACCGGACGCGTAGCCACGGCCAAAATATTATCGTTAAAATATTTAGCAGAGGGTAGTTTCGATCTACCGACCTCTGGGTTATGGGCCCAGCACGCTTCCACTGCGCCACTCTGCTGCTATGTATTCAGAAATAAGCGCTGTCATTTTCTTTTAATTTACGTTTGCATAAAATCTAATCTTAAAAATATTTAGCAGAGGGTAGTTTCGATCTACCGACCTCTGGGTTATGGGCCCAGCACGCTTCCACTGCGCCACTCTGCTGATATGTTTAAATTGAAGAATGTCTTTAATTTTTATTTCATTTAGATATAGGAAAATTTTCTTGCGATTATAAACTAAACGCTGATATAAAAATTAGCAGAAGGTAGTTTCGATCTACCGACCTCTGGGTTATGGGCCCAGCACGCTTCCACTGCGCCACTCTGCTGATATGTATAAACTAAAGAATGTCTTTAATTTTTATTTTATTTAGATATAGGAAATTTTTTTTGACAATTGTAAACTAAACGGTAGGCCCTAATATAAAAACTAGCGGGGGTAGTTTCGATCTACCGACCTCTGGGTTATGGGCCCAGCACGCTTCCACTGCGCCACTCAGCTGCTAGATATGAAAATTTCAAGTGAGTTTCTTTTTTGTTTTCATTTTCATCAAGGAATATTTGTATTGATGTTTTTAGACTAAACGGTAATATAAAAGTTAGCAGAGGGTAGTTTCGATCTACCGACCTCTGGGTTATGGGCCCAGCACGCTTCCACTGCGCCACTCTGCTATGACTGCTGGTGGAATATGACTAGGCATGTGACATATTATATACTTACTATTAACCGTTAAACGAAATTAATAATAGAACAGTCACGCAAAATCTCTTAACAAAAATTTCAGAACGTCTGATACGTGTATGTGATCGACATAGGTACCATCGCACTAAGCCACTATCTCAACACGCCAGCGCTGTCGTCATGAGTGACGTCACGTCAATAGATCGATCGCATGCGAAAGTCGTGTCGTTGAGAAAATGACCGGAAGTCTACAGAAAACTTAACACCGAGTGGCTACGCGGGCCTATGCATACCTGATTTGTTCCGTGCGGTTTGAAATTTAACGTTAGTCGGAATAACCACTGTAAAAGATTATTTTGCCTGTCAGAATCCTCTCGCATAGATCCTAGCCATTAGAGTAGTGGGTGAAATTGCGATCGATTCGGTGTGGTCGATTCAGTCGGTTCGGTTCGATCGGTTCGGTCCCGTGCTATGCTTGTATATTCATGTGCATATACAATTCAACAGGTACTAGCGTTCGTCTGCTCGTGGCGCCACTGTTCCCCTACGCGACATCAGAACAGTCGATCTACATCGACCTCGACCACAACCAGCTAGAGACGTTCAGCCAGGAGGCGCTGGATGTACTGCGCTTCAATCGGATCCTCTATATCAGCATCGAGGGTTCGCGCTTCTTCTGCGACTGCTATCATCGCTGGTTCATCTACTGGATGCAGAAGTTTAGTCGTCGACGCTACAACGCCTACTTAGATGACCACCAGACGATTCTTGCAGGATTGCAGGGCTCTGGCGCATGCGTCGACGGCGGAGTAAAGATATTGGATGATCATTATATGAGGCATGTATATAAAAAATATAGTAAATATAATAAAGAAATTAAGTTAAGTATAATTAAATATTCATTCCTAGTACAGTGTCACGCATAGTCATTCTTGCCCGACCTATATGGTCTCTGTCTATTTATGAGTACTAAGGTCGTTGTGTTGATCTGACTTGTCAAGGCATAACAATTACGATAAATCACTTTTCGACGCTGCTCTAACGTTTACATTATTAATAACAATAACCCGCAATCTAATCTGTGCATTATCCTAAGGTAATAAGATATACACACGTCAACAGTCATGTACCAAATGAACTAGGCAAGCGTGGACTTTCTTAAAGCCCATTCTTGCATTTGCAATAATTTACTTCGTAAACATATATTATCCAGTTTATTGACCTATCTGCGCAGAATGATTGCCAGATCACTAGCCAATCACGTCTGTATTAGGACGCTATAAAAGAGAATGCTTAGCAATATAAATTCGACATTTATATTTTTTTCGACGTGCACGCAAATAAATACGTATAGGCTGGTCTCGCTTGATCGACTGACTTATACTATACACTATTCAAAAGAGGTGTAGTTATCTCACGTAGACGGATAGGCGCATTTAAAATTTGATTTTGAATTGAAATTGAATTTCAAGGAGAGTCTTGCGACTGGACAGAATTCGTGATGTTCGCCACAAACATCCTCGCGAAATTTTCATCTTGTCATTTATTCCATATTAATCGCAATCTTAACCTTAAGATTAACGTTAACTTTTATCTTCACATTATCCTTATTATTATCATTTTATCATTCTCATATTTATCCTTGTCCTCATCCTCACCCTCATCTTCATGCTGATCCTCATCTTCATCCTCATCCTCATTCTCATCCTCATCCCAATCAATAACTCTTATCATTACCCTCACATTTTCTTTCGGTCTAATCCGCTCCTACTAAGTATTATTCGTAAACGTTTTCCTCACGACCGGGCTTTCCGCTTCAGTTTCCAGCACGTACTGGAGGCAAGCACGTGTTTCGACGAGGCAGGCCAGGACCGCTACAGCATCGTCGACTTCAACATCTCGACGCTGCAATGCCACTACACGCGTCCGCCCGTAGCCGACAAACATCTAACGGCCTACATCCTAGGTGGCGCCATCGGCGGCTCGGGCGTGCTGGCGCTCATCGCCATCGTCGTCGTCTGCGCCTGGTGCTGCTGTTGCCGACGAGGCGCGTCGACGCGCAAGAGCACCGAGGAGGCGTCCTACGACAATAACGCGTACACGATCACGCAGCCGAACGGCGGCGTTGTCGACAACGGCCACCGCGGCGGCGAGGGCGTGAGCGCGACTAACGGAAGAGCCGACGAGACCGCGCCCAAGTTCCGCTACACGACGCACTTGTGACGATGTCGGCATTGCGGTGCGCGCGGCGCCGACAAGGGCGCCCTCAGCAGCGATAGTTGGAGCGGGCTGGAGACTGGAAGCAGCGATGGGGGCCACCTGTCAACCCTTGTGTGATGTTGACCCGTGCTGTGTTTTGTTGTTGTTTTTTATAGCTTATGGTTTTCTCATTGTGTGCGGTGTATGGTGTTTCGTAACGGGTCTGTAATATTAGGCGAGACAAGCGGCTAACGAGGTTATATATATATGGTGCGAGGGCTTCGTTTCATGTTGCGACGAGTGAGGCTTCATGTGAAGAAAAGCGCAGTGTCGTAACTCGAGCAAATCCCTATATGGAAGAGCAAGATTTTACGATTTCGCTGATGAGTAGTGACCAGACATGTTGTGGCAGTCCTACCACCGAGGATGGTAGTGTAGACGGGACAGTGTCCGACATTATGATATACACACTTCATGTCTATCAATTATCATTATCGCCTTTAATCTAAGTTGCATTTTGGGATTTTACGTTCCAAATTTACTATCAAAACCTAGGTAGGGCAGCTGCTAACTTGCTCGCCCAGAAGGGTAACGAGCCTAGATAAATGAAATGGACCTAAATAATTTTTAATCAGGATTTTATTGGGTTCAGTATCCTTTCGAAAGCGTGGTAAAAATGCGAGTATCTTTCTTGAACCACGTATTAGGCTTATTATTTAAAAATTGAGATAGACAACTGCTTGACGAAAATAGCTTGCGTTAAAACTTGATCCGCGATGTCCTCAATATACATAATTTATGAGGTGAGTTGTCTGTTTATCTGGGACTAACGTAACATTATCAAATATAAATTCACCAATAGAATGCGAATGTGTGCTCTACACAACATACGTAAGCTGTGTAGGCGCTATATCACGTGAAAATTGTTCATTTTTAAAATGAAGAGTATAACCTCGTCGCAGCTAAGCTTGACATGAAAAATAGGAATGCCGATATCTCGTTGAACACTAAAGATCATCGTGGCAGTTTTCTCAGGCTACTGGTAGAATACTAATAAAGTCAAAATCAGCCGAATAGATATCCGCGATGTGTATTCTATCCGTGACTTTGCGTGACCTAGAGGTGGTGAACAACAGTAGATCGCGTCCAATAGGCAGCAGGCTGAATAAGCATCGAACAGATTATTAAATTAAAATACTCGCACACTGTTTAGCTGTCGCTTACAACAACATAACAACTTTAAATTCATGTTAAATAACTCAGATTTATGCTCTATGCTCCGCTCAGAACTTTTTGGGCCAAGCTCTAATAATGCGAATTTCTACAGAGAGCTAGTCGGATCCGCGTTTTATACAACAAAAGTGGCCGGAACGGCGACCCATGGCTAGCCCACTAGCTGGAATGGCACGAATTCCACACAAAGACCAGATTTTTCTAATGGCTTTTTAAAGACGTTCACGAGGCATCTACTACGATTGGAAACTTTGCGTGCATGAATTAGTGCGACCGAGACATGGTGCTTAGCTACCACCGAGGTTGTAGTGTAGTACGGGGACAAGTGTAAGTTCAGGCAGCGACAGTCTGTCAGATAACGACGATTATGATATTTTTACACTTTATTCATCACTCTTCACATTTCAGATTTGACCTAAGTTCATGTAAGGATTTACTATCGGACATTTTTATCTTCAATTAAACGCTAGGTACGGTAGGCAGGCTGCAATACCTGTGCTCACCACGAATTGTACGGCAAAACCATAGGATCTCAACGATACATGGCTACCTAATAAATTGCTCAAGTATCTTCGAAGAGTGGTTAAAAGTAGTGATTTTTACTTGAAGTATTATCCTTTTAATTAGAAAGATTGGATAGGACATGGCTTGACGAAATAGCTTGACGTTTAAAACTTTGATCCCGATGTCTCAATATAATATATATATGAGGTGAGTTGTCTTGTTTATCTGGCTAAACGTAACATTAATCCAAATTATTAAATTCACCAATAGAGGCCGTGTTAGAGTTCTACCACCCATACGGCAGCTGTGTAGCGCTATCACTGAAAATTGTCATTTTAAAATGAAGAGTATACATACCTCGTCGCAGTAGCCTTGACATGAAAAATGAATCCCGATATCCGCTTGAACACTAAATAATTTGCCTGACACAGTTTCTCGCTGCGTAAATACTAATAAAGTCAAAATCAGGCCGATAGATGGCGATGTGTATTCTACACTGACTTTGCGCTGAACTTAGAGGTGTTGAAACGGTTGTCTATATATCAGAGCCAGGGTACAGGACGATAATTTGCATATTTTATTATGCATAATGGCATGCAATGCAATGCATACAGCATATATAATATGCAAATATCTCTGTACCGGCCTGAATCATAGACCAAACGCCGTGTGAACAAACAAGTAGAGGCTCCATAGGCTATGGAGCTCTGAATAAGCAGTGAACATAAATTAATTAAAAATACGCACGC